ACAGGGATTGCATTGAAGCTGTAGATTGCTTTGGGTAGTATAGTCATTTTGATAGTATTGGTTCTTCCAATCCAAGAACTGGTATATCTCTCCATCTGTTTGTGTCATCTTTGATTTCTTTCATCAGTATCTTATAGTTTTCTAAGTACAGGTCTTTTGCCTCCTTAGGTAGGTTTATTCCTAGGTATTTTATTCTTTTTGATGCAGTGGTAAATGGGATTATTTCCTTAATTTCTCCTTTTGATCTTTCATTGTTAGTGTATAGGAATGCAAGAGATTTCTGTGTATTAATTTTGTATCCTGCAACTTTACCAAATTCATTGATAAGCTCTAGTAGTTTTCTGATGGCATCTTTAGGATTATCTATGTATAGGAACATGTCATCTGCAAACAGTGACAGTTTTACTTCTTCTTTTCTAATTTGGATTCCTTTTATTTCTTTTTCTTCTCTGATAGCTGTGGCCAGGACTTCCAAAATTATGTTGAATAAAAGTGGCAAGAGTGGACATCCGTGTCTTGTTCCTGATCTTAGAGGAAATGCTTTCAGTTTTTCACCATTGAGAATGATGTTTGCTGTGGGTTTGTCGTATATGGCCTTTATGATGTTGAGGTAGTTTCCCTCTATGCCCATTTTCTGGATAGTTTTTATCATAAATGGGTGTTGAACTTTGTCAAAAGGTTTTTTCTGCATCTATTGAGATGATCATATGGTTTTTATTCTTCAATTTGTTAATGTGTTGTATCACATTGATTGATTTGCAAATAATGAAGAATCCTTGCATCCCTGGGATAAATCCCACTTGATCACAGTGTATGCTCCTTCTAATGTGTTGTTGGATTCAGTTTGCTAGTATTTTGTTGAGGATTTTTGTGTCTGTGTTCATCAGTGATATTGGCCTGTAATTTTATTTTTTTGTGGTATCTTTGTCTGGTTTTGGTATCAGGGTGATAGTGGCCTCATAAAATGAACTTGGGAGTGTTCCTTCCTCTGCAATTTTTTTGGAAGAGTTTCAGAAGGATAGGTGTTAACTCTTCTCTAAATGTTTGATAGAATTCACCTGTGAAGTCATCTGGTACTGGACTTTTGTTTGTTGGAAGTTTTTAAATAACAGTTTCAATTTCAGTACTTGTGATTGGTCTGTTTCTATTTTCTATTCCTGGCTCAGTCTTGGAATGTTGTACCTTTCTAAGAATTTGTTCATTTCTTCTAGGTTATCCATTTTATTGGCATATAGTGCTTATACTAGTCTCTTATGATCCTTTGTATTTCTGTGGTGTCCATTGTAACTTCTTTTTCATTTGTAAATGTGTTTTTCTTTTCTTTTTTTTGGCTGCATTGTGTGTTCATTGTTGCGTGCGGGCTTTTACTAGTTGCAGCAAGTGGGGGCTACTCTTCGTTGTAGTGCATGGGCTTCTCCTTGTGGTGGATTCTCTTGTTGTAGAGCACAGGCCCTAGGCACGCAGGCTTCAGTAGTTGCAGCACACAGGCTCCGTAGTTGTGGCTCATGGGCTTAGTTGCTCCACGGCATGCGAGATCTTCCCGGACCAGGGATTGAACTCCTGTTCCCTGCATGGGCAGGTGGATTTTTAACCACTACACCACCAGGGAAGCCCCTTCATTTCTAATTTTATTGATTTGAGCCATCACCCTCACCCTCTTTTTCTTGATGAGTCTGGCTGAAGGTTTATCAATTTTGTTTATCTTTTCAAAGAAACAGCTTTTAGTTTCATTGATTTTTTCTATTGTTTTCTTTGTCTCTATTTCATTTATTTCTGCTCTGATCTTTATGATTTCTTTCCTTCTACTAACTTTGGGTTTTGTTTGTTCTTCTTTCTCTAGTTGCTTTAGGTGTAAAGTTAAGTTGTTTGAGATTTTTCTTGTTTTCTGAGGTAAGACTGTATTGCTATATACTTCCCTCTTAGAACTGTTTTTGCTGCATCTCATAGGTTTTGGATCATCGTGTTTTTGTTGTCATTTGTCTCTAGGTATTTTTTTGTTTGTTTGTTTTGGGGTTTTTTTGCGATACGCGGGCCCCCCCCACCACTGCGGCCTCTCCCGCTGCAGAGCAAAGGCTGCAGACGCACAGGCTCAGTGGCCACGGCCCATGGGCCCAGCTGCCTCACGGCACGTGGGATCCTCCCAGACCAGGGCCCTAACCCGTGTCCCCTGCATTGGCAGGTGGACTCCCAACCACTGTGCCACCAGGGAAGCCCCTGTCTCTAGGTATTTTTTTTTCTCTTTGATTTCTTCAGTGATCCATTGGTTGTTTAGTAACATTGTTTAGCCTCCATGTTTTGTGTTTTTTACAGTTTTCCTATAATTTATTTCTAATCTCATAGCATTGTGGTCAGAACAGAAAGATGCTTGATATGATTTCAAGTTTTAAAATCTACCGAGGCTTGATTTGTGGCCCAAGATGTGATCTGTCCTGTAGAATGTTCCATGTGCACTTGAGAAGAAAGTGTATTCTGCTGCTTTCAGATGGAGTGTCCTATAAATATCAGTTAAGTCTATCTGGTCTCATGTGTCATTTTTTTTTTTTTTTTGCTGTACGCGGGCCTCTCACTGTTGTGGCCTCTCCGGTTGCGGAGCACAGGCTCCAGACGCGCAGGCTCAGCGGCCATGGCTCACGGGCCCAGCCACTCCGCAGCATGTGGGATCTTCCCGGACCGGGGCACGAACCTGTGTCCCCTGCATCGGCAGGCGGACTCTCAACCACTGCGCCGCCAGGGAAGCCCTCATGTGTCATTTAAGGCTTGTGTTTCCTTAATAGTTTTCTGTCTGGATGATCTGTTCATTGGTGTAAGTGGGGTGTTAAAGTCCCTCACTATTGTGTTACTATTTCCCCTTTTGTGGCTGTTGGCGTTTGGCTTATATATTGAGGTGTTCCTATGTTGGGTGCATGTATATTTACAATTGTTATATCTTCTTGGGTTGATCCCTTGATCATTATGCAGTGTCCTTCCATGTCTCTTGTAACAGTCTTTATTTTAAAGTCTATTTTTTCTGATATAAGTATTGCTACTCCAGCTTTCTTTTGATTTCCATTTGCATGTAATATCTTTTTCCACTTGCAATCTGTATGTGTCCCTAGGTCTGAAGTGAGTCTCTAGTTGATAGCATATATATGGGTCTTGTTTTTGTATCTATTCAGCCAGTCTGTCTTTTGGTTGGTGCATTTAATCTATTTACATTTAGGTAATTATCAATATATAAGTTCCTATTGACATTTTCTTAATTGCTTTAGGTTTTTGTAGCTCTTTTTTCTTCCCTTCCTCTTTTGTTCTCTTGTGGATTGATGACCACCTTTAGCGTTGTGTTTGGGTTGCTTTCTCTGTTTTGTTTGTGTACCTATTGTAGTTTTCTGGTTTGCATTTCCCATGAGGTTTTTGATACAGTAGCCTGTATATATACAATGTTGTTTTAAGTTGCTGGTCTCTTAATTTCAAATGCAATTCCCATTTCCTGCATTTGTACTCTCCTCACAGTTGCTGGTTTTGATATCATATTTGTGTGGGGGTGATTTCCTACTATTACTTTATGTTTGCCTTTACTGGTGAGCTTTCCCATTTGTCATTTTGTTGTTTCTAGTTGTGGCCTCCCCTCCACTGCCCCCCAACCCTGAGAAGTTCCTTTAGCATTTGTTGTAAGGCTGGTTTGGTGGTGCTGAATTCTTTTAGCTTTTGCTTGTCTGTAAAGCTTTTGATTTCTCTGCTGAATCTGAACGTGAGCCTTGCTGGGTAGAGTAGTATAGACATAGTCTTGTCTTATAGTCACTTGTGTATAGGTCTAATTTATAGACATAAATTAGGGGATTTATGTCTATAGGGGATTGTGCCTAATTCCCCTTCCACTCACTTCCTCCACTTTCAAATGACAAGATCCATAAAGACAGGGCTATGTTTTATTCGACTTTGTAACAACATAAGTGCTTAAAACAGTGCTTTTAACATCATAGGTGTTCAGGAAACGTTTCTGATAAAGTTGAAGTGGAATTGAAACAACGATTTATTAAAGTTTAGGGCATACACCTTGGGACAAAGAATTGATGCCATATATGTAAAGATAAACCTAGTGAAGTAAACTGATGTTCACATCAGTTGTAGCAAGAAACATCAGTGTGCCCCCAATACAATTACGGATTACGTTTATTGTATGTATAAGCCAAGTTTTTAAAACTGAAGCGTGAAAAGTACGTGGACTTCTTCGAGATCATACACATCCTTTCAATGAATACAACTTTCTCTCTTTACAGTTAGTCCGTAAAATCAGAATATAAATCATGTAAATCAGAATGACCAACGTGGGTAAATTAGAAGGGCTTTGTATTTGCAGTACTACACAGGCTGGTTCTACATTAGGGACAGCTGATCCCCCCACCCCCGCCCCGGGAGAATGAAGGGTTTATTATTACTTGCAGCAAATAAGAACACTGGGGTTGTTTCCCAAAGAAGCGTCTCTCCAAACAACAAAATTAGGGGACTCTTAAGCTGTGGGTACATGCGTGTCCATGAAGGGGCTCGGACAGTAGGCAGAGTCTAAGCTTTAGTTGATTGATTGAAGGGGACGGGCTGACCTTCAGCACCAGGGAGCTGCTGACTGCTGGCTGAAACTTTTGTTGATGACATTTCTTCACTCCTCAGTTAATGCTTATCTTCCTTTTCACTTTGGTTCCTATTATTTTACTTCATCCCCCACCTTCTGTTCTTCTTTCTTTTCTTTTCTGTCTTCCTGTATTAAAGGGACTAATTACCCACATGCCCAGTCCCTTCTAGGGGCCTCTGTCCCTGTACACGGCCCTGCCTGTCCTTTCCCTGCCACTTCACTCCCCCACCAAAATTGCTGCTGGTTCCCGCTCTCCCCGAGGCCCGACTGCTCAGCTTTTCCTCGGGGTCCATGAGAGGATATAACCATCGCCCTCTTACTTGTCTAAGTAGGTTTCTGTTCTTACAACCAAAGGTGTATCTCAAGCCCCTACCCCTTCCTTCCTCTGTTGTAGGTACACCTGCCAGCGGTGCCCGGAGGAGTTGCTCAGCCTCCCTCGTGTCAGCCAGGATGTAAAAGGGAGACCACCTGGCCTGCGTGCTCAGAAGCATCAGAATATTTAGAAATGGGCAGACGGTTGGTTGAATTTTCTACCTTTTGGGGAACGTTTCAGTACCTTGTGGACAAGGCTCTTGGACTCCATTTAAGCACCTTGTTAAGACCACTGAATGAATTTTGTTGTGCAAAACAAGAAGTAGTCACATGGATACTGCCCCTGAGCCCTGCCTAGGTGGTAGGCTTAGCTGGATAGAGGTGGTTAGGGATTTAACCTTTTTTTAAGAATGAAAAACATTTAAAATTGGGAAAGAAAGTGGACTTTATCTCCTTAAATGGAATGACTGTAGAACAGCAAAACCTTTTTCTATCTCCAGCAGGGAACTGTGGCAGGAGACTACGAGCTTTATGGGGAATTACTGGTATTATCAAAGGCTTTTCAAAATAGACTTGAAATGAATAGTTGTGTGCCTGTTTTATTACTGCCTTGTGAGTTTACATTTTGTTTTTTGTACAGTATTTTTCTCCCCCTTATGAGATGGTTGCTAGGGCTTGCGAGCAAATAACGTTTATTGTGTTGAATTTGGGACTGAACATAATTACCTTACAATTGGGGTTCATAGTGCCATTTTTGACAGTTATATTATGAGCTTTTTGAGGAAAATTGAGCCCACATGCTGTAAGCTGCTTCCTATTCAGCTGCCCTTCAAGCTTTGGTGTCTCGGCTCTCCCTGCCCCCATTCCTCTGCCGCGGGGCAGCCTCGGGACCAAATGCTGCTGGAGGAAAACCAGACAATCCAGTGTGGGTACCGCCAAGCTCCAGCACTGTCTCCTCTGAAAAGCCCCTTGTCCCCAGTGTGTTTTTCCGGATGACTCCGTGGACATGCGTCTCTAGGGATGCTGCAGTTGGCTATCACTACAGGCATCCTGCCTTTCTCCTACCGGGAAAGTCGTGAGTAAACAGAAGTTTTGTAAACAGAAGTTTTGTAAATCGAGTCAATACTCCTAGCAACCTCCTTGACCATTTCAGAGATGCTTCATCTTCATTTCTGGCCGGTCTTTCGCTGGTAGCACTTCTTACCTAATCTGTCCCATAGCGTTTCTGTAAAGGAAGGTAATGAGCGGTAAACAAACTCTTAAATGCACCAGGGGAGCACAGTGCTTACAGAAATCCTTCTTAAATAAGTCTTTTTTTTTTTTTTTCCTGTTCCTTCCTATTGCCCTAGCAGAAATTTGGGTTCACCTAGAAGCAGACCTTGAGATAAGGGTTTAAGTGCAAATGGTGTATTAGGGAGTTCATGCCAGGGAACACCAGTAGGAGAGGGAATTGATAGTGGGAAGGGAAGGAAAGTCAACACAAGGTATGTCATGGAGCAGGTTACTACTTAGGCAAGGGCTGCTCAGTCCTGCGGGGGGTCTCTAGGAAACAGTGGAAAGACACACCTCAGATTTGTGCCACCTGAGGGCGAAGAACCTGGGGCGTTTATATACTGGCTCCCTCAGTCACTGTTGGAGGGCTGCTTCTGGGGAGCGGGTGGGTAATAATATCCTAGCGCTCTACCTTCTACTTGGGGAGGGGCTATCGAAATCCAAGAAAGCTCTTGGATGGTAAATGCTGGCAGTTGGAAGCCAAGACAAATGTAAGTGGCTGAAACGTAAACGGCTGTGGGCAGGACACCAGCACATCTGCTACACTTGGATTCTCAGAATGTGTGTGAGGAGGTGGCTTCTCCATTGCTCCTGAGTGTCACTGCAACAACTCTTCTTTATCGGTAAGTGTCTTCTAGATGCATTTTCTGCAAATCAGAAAAGGTTCTGAGAGATTTATTATTAGGAAAGTGAAGTCTTTCCTTCAAAATATTTTCTTTGTACAGAAATACTAGGAAATGGAACCAGTGGCCACGACCAATAGATTAATATCAAGCCTTTTCAAAATGCTCCCATCCGTCATCTTCAGTGGATGGAGGATATAGAAGCAAATATATACAGCCTTTATTCTCGAGATTGTTTTTATTCCACCATCAGTGGATTGCCATGATTAGCAAAGGCTAATCTTAGATGCTTTTTCAAAGTGCCTGTATATCCTTTGTTACCTCATGGACCATGGTGTGGCAGGCAGACCACTTGTAACTTGCCCAAGAGGACAGGGGTCAAACAGAGGTATGGGGTGCTGTCCTTTATTCATAGGTACCAGCTCCAAAGAGTGATTAAATCCAGGCATCCTAACTCCCATATCTCGGAGGCCCTGGACCCTCGTGTTGCTGGTGACTCCTGCTACTGTCTTTATTCCTAATGGCACTCTGGCAGCTGAACCAATCATGCCCTGGTTGGTTTCCTACTGTTTTGAGGGTTGATGAGTCTAAGTTCCTAACACAGCATCAGAGGGGGATCTTGGTGCTGAGGAGAATTAAGCTCATGGAGTCTCTATGGCACACAGATGCCACAAAAGAGTGGAGCTGAACTTCCCTTGAGAGGCATATTGATGGCCTACCATCTTGGTAAAATGGAATTCAGCTCAGTTTTGTGTCAGACCTAAGTGGCAGCCTGTATCTGTATCAGATCCATGGACTTCTTCTACTCTGACTCCTAATTCTAGGCCCTGATATGTAATTTGTGAGGTTTCAGAGCTGGAAAAAGCTTTAAAGATCATCCAGCCAACCTGTCTATTTTGCTGATAAGGATCCTACATTCCAGAATGGTTAAGTCACTGACCCAGAGTCAAACAGGGAGTCAAGAGCTGGGCTGAGAGAGAGCCAGTCTTTTCTCACTTTGCATGAAGTTAGTTAATTTTGCAAGCAGCAGAATTTCTCACTGGATTCAGGAGAAGTAAATGTTTGGTGCCACAGAGTTTTTTGAATACCTGCTGAAGACAGTGCAGGGCTCTGCGGGGATCTGAGGAACGAGACCCTGTGCCCTCAGGGCTCTTACACTGTCTGCTTGAGCTCTTTGCTCCTTGCTTCCCAGCTCTCTTCCCCTGTTGCCACTCCCAATTCATCCTCCATCCTATTTTCACTTCTCTTTTCTTACAGCTTATGCCCCTCATTCCAACTCCCTGATTCCCCTCCTCCACCATTTCTCTGCTCCCATTCTACCAGGTTCTCTTCTGCTACTATATATTTCTCTTCTCTGCTACTATATCTTTCTTTTCCTCGTATTTATCTATCACCTCCCTTGAGCTGCCCCTTCCTAGGCCCCCTTGCTCTCCCCTCTGCCACCTTGGATCCTGGAAGCATACTTGGTTATCGTGGTCAGCGGCCTCTGCAATGGCCAATGGTCCCCACCTGCTGGTCTCCATGCCCTCGTGGAATCCCTTCCCTTTTGGTACAGGATGGACCTTGTAAGTCAATTCTAATGAATAAAATATGACCAAAATGATGGGACATCACTTCTACGCTTAGGTTAAAAAAAGCTTTGGCTTCCACCTTAGGTGCTCTTTGACTATAAGGAAGCTGGCTGCCATGTTGTAAACTGACCTACGGAGAGGCCCATGTAACAAGGAACTGAAATCTCCAGCCAACAGCCAGCAAGTACCTGAGGTCTGCTAACCACCACGTGAGTAATCCTCCCCCCGTGGAGCCTGGAAACAACTGCAGCCCCTCCGATATCTTGACTGTAGCCGGTGAGAGACCCCAAGTCTGAGGCACCCAGCTAAGATGCTCCTGGATTCCTGAACCACAGAAACTGTAAGATAACTTTTTTTTTTCAATTGGAGTACAGTTGATTTACAATATTGTGTTAGTTTCAGGTGTACCGCAAAGTGATTCAGTTATACATATATATTTTTTTCAGATTCTTTTCCCTTACAGGTTATTACAAAATATTGAGTGTAGTTCCCTGTGCTATAGAGTAGGTCCTTATTGGTTATTTTATATATAGTAGTGAAATGTTTGTGTTGTTTTCAGCTGCTAAGTTTGGGGGTAATTTTTTATGCAGCAATATTAAAAATGCAGAGTTGTCCTTTACAGACCCCCACCCAGAAATGTGTGTCTTCTATGACCTTGAGCAAATCGCTGCTACTGTTTGGGCTTCAGTCTCCTCATCTGGGAGGCTTTGGGCTTAGAGTCTAGTGTCTCAAGTCTTCTGTCCGTGAAGATGTAGCCTGTGAGGTTACAACAAGGCCCATCTCTTCTACTGTTTAGTGTATGAAGCCCGGTTAAACCCGCACATCTTTGTATGTTAAGCTCCACGTCTTTAAATTTGCCTCACGTTTTTCACTCCTATTATCTGAAGTCTGTTTCTAATTTCTGACAGAATTGCAGCGGCCCATTGTGTGCCTCGCTCTGCATGACATGCCAATTTCATTTTGGAGTCACAGCTATTGTCTTTTTCCCCACTAATCTCGTTTTGCAAAATTCCAATAGAACCTGTGAACAGAGAGAGTTGCCCTTGTGCTTGATCTGGGTGCTGTGTGGCCCCCAAACAGGGGTGGATGATAGACAGCCTGTCTGCCACCCGAGGCATCTTTTCTTGCTTAAAAATTTGTTCTCCAGATTGCAGACTCCCTTCCAACGCTAGCAAAGACTGGAACATATTAAATAAGAGCAGAGCTGAAATTGGATGGAATGTCTCAGCCACTTAGATTCAGACCTCTCTTTAGGGGGAGCACGTGGGGAAGAGGCCGGGAAGTGCCCACGTGGATAATGTGGAGGAAGACAGCTTCCATCCCTTTCTTATACCATTCAAGCCTTAAACAGGGGTAACATTTTTTCTTAAGCAGGGCCTATAACCCAGGATCCATCACTTATATATGGTGTCCATGGCAACCAGGCAATGGTATGGGATCCCTTCTCACTGGGGAATTCCTTTTATGGCTCATTTCCGAAACCAGCATGGCCAGTACAGGAGCCTGCAGTTTCCCAGTTGCTTAGCAACCAGCTCCTATGCTCTAGTCACTAGGAAAAGCAGACAGTTAAAAAAAAAAAAGTGTAGTCAGAATCATATGTTACATTCTTTCTACTTTGTCTCTTTAGAATAAAATAGTGTGCGATAAGGATGCGGGAAAGGGCAACCGCTCCCTGTTAATGCCTTCACTGCTCCTGGCGGGCTTGCAGGCAGAGAGAGGGAGGAAAATGTTAGCATGCTTTCGGCTGGAAATTAAGCAGCGTGAGCCATCTGCACGTTGAAAGCTCTACATTTTTCACGTCTTGTGGGGGCATCAAGTAAGTGCAGGGCCAGCAATCTGTGTGCTGCATTCCCTCCCCCAAACCAGAAAAGCCAGGCTCCACCCACAGGTGTCACTGGACCACTTCTCCTTGGCTGACATTCCTGGGAGGAGTGAATTGGTTTGTTGGGTTTTTGGTAGAAAGGCAAGGAGACCATGTAGCCCCCTTGAGTTACAGCTGTGGTTTTCAACCAGGGATGATTTTGCCCCCCAGGTGACATCTGGCAAGGTCTGTAGACATTTTGGGTTGTCATAGTGGTGGGGGAGGGGGATGTTGTTGCTAACCATCCTACGATGTTTAGGCAAAGGACAGCCCCCAACACCAAAGAAGTATCCTGCCCACAGTGCCAGTATGCCGAGCTTGAGAAACCCTGCGTTAGAGAGTCAGAAGAACCATCTGTCTTGTTAAAGACAAGCACTACAGCCATTTGGAAAAAACGGCACAGCCCCTGTCACCCTGGCCTCAAACAGAAGCCTGTCTAGTTTGGACCACTTCAAATGCCTTGTCACCTCCATTCTTTCTTTCTTATAATGCATCAACCGGAGCTATACGTTCCCTATAAAGGTAATATTTTCTGTGTGTTTTTGTTCCTCATTCTTCCTAATAATTTTGCAAAACTGGTAGGACTTTGGGGGCCAGAGTGTTTGCTGCACACTCTTGCACTGAACCCCAAGTCCTTTTTCTGGGTCACAACAGCTGGTTTGTAGTGGGCAGCGTCTCACCTTCTATAGTTCGTACTTTTCCTCCCTGTCATGCCCTTATTCTCAGCAAAGTTTATCTGCCAAGGTTTTGCCCACTCACCCAGCCTCATTTGATCTCACCCCCGTTGGCTTCTTGTTCAACACCCAGAAGGGCCGGATGAGCTCTAAACACTTAGAGGTTTCACTGCCCCTTCTAGATTGTCGGGGGATCCCACCTGACTCAAGCCTCTCAGGGTTGCAGCTCTAATGTGTCACTGCTAGAATTTTTCTCTTCCGCAGGGGATAATTAAATGATACACTTAGAGGTTGCTTGCTCATCCCTCCCAAGCAGAATGATGGAATCTCACCTGGAAGCAGTGACAACCAGGAAAGGCGGAAGAAGGATGTTTACCAGACACACATGAACTCAGCTCCCCCAGAAGGTAGCACACAGGTACCTCATTTCTGAACAGGTAGCAGAAGCCAGATCCACAGTCACCCCAGGGCTGTGACTGGCTGGAGACGGGATATCTCGAGGTTTACCAGGAGGACCGGAAGCACTCCAAGTATGTGGACGTCAGAGCAGTGGCTAAGAAAGAGTCCAGGCGGGCTGGGACATCAGGCAGCTGAGGGCAAGGCAGGCAGCACGTCTGGGCTCCAGGATGACAGGCGATTTAAAACAGGGCACCCTCAGAGCCCTGAAACAAGGCAAGGCTTTATCAGGAAGGGGATCTGAGCCTCAGGAGTGAGAGTAGTACAACTGAGCCTGGCTGAAGACAGATCCTTATGACAATAAAGCAGAAGGGATAACAGAGAGGGAGGGAGGGGGTTGATGCCTCCTCCGGGGCAAATAATTTTCTCTGTATCCCTGTAACACTAGTACAGGTTCCTAGAAGATCAGTCAGTTGGTCAATTAGCAGGTAATGTTGAATATGTACTCTGTGGGTATCATTCCTTGCATAAAGCTCCCGCAGAACCCTAACCTCATGAGGTGCTCCAAGAAAAACATTCTGTGATCACTATGATTTTTGCAAACTGCAAGTCCCTCTTGGAAATTCATAGTGTACAGTAGCATTTTAGAAGCTCAAACTCCTGTGATATAGAAACCTGTTTTTAATCCAGTAACAGTTGACAACAGGATCCTTTTATTACGTGAAAACTATGAACATCCTGTGGACACACCTTGAGAGATATTGTTCTAAAGCATTCCTAATCTGGTGTTCCCAGGCCCTTCGCAACCTGGGCCTGCCCTTGTTTCCCGACTTTACCTTCCTTTATTTTCCTACATTCCAGGCACACTGAATTCTTCCCTTGTACATGCCCCTATTTCACATTTCCTTCTTTTCTCTACAGCAGGTGATTCATCATCTGCCCAAAAAAGGGAAAAAACGCTGAGCCTTCCTCACTTCAGCCCCCGCCCATTGCTACCTATCCTGTAAGGCTCACCTCAAAGGGGGGGACACTTGATCCATCTCTGCCCCAGCCTCCCTGTTACTATAAACAATGCATTTTCTCCTCTGATCCCTTGTGTCACACTATCTATTGCTTTTAGAGCACTTAGTACCTTTTAATTTGTGTATGGCCATCTATGCCTTTCTTATTAGGAGACAATCCATGTCTGGTTCATTTTGATACTCCTAGCCCAGAACACAGCTTACTCGTAGGATTGTCCAAGGGAGCAGGAAGTAAGAAGCTATGACCTCCAAGGCGGAAGTAAGTTTCCCAACACTCAGGCCAGAGATGGCAGATCTCTGGCTCACAGGCTGTGAACTCACACTCACCTGTGGTGAACAGACTCATCTAGCACCACGCAATGCCCCTGGGGCCCAGATGCCGCGCCCCCTCCAAAGCTTCTCAACACAGTGCTCGCAGTAGTCATAATCAACGGGTTAGAGTTGGCATGACAGAGGAAATCTAGTTGTCATCCTTGATTTGGACTTTTCCACGAAGTGAAAGTTAGGAGAATTTAGCAAGCTGAATATTGGAGCTGTTAATACTTCAGATCAAGGACTGTCCATAACAGAAAAGAGCAATTAGCAAAACTGTTCATTATACTTTCATGTTCAAGTCTAGTCTCAAGGCTAATTATCTGTATAATTAACGTGTTACCAAATGCAAATAATTGATGAGCCTGATCTCTTGGAATGGAACACAAGTCTTGTGAAATGTAAATAGCTGTGAATTACTAACAGCTTTCCTTTACATGGCCTGTCTAAATAGGGCAGTGCCTGTAAAATTAAACAATTTAAGTATAATCCCAGGTATGCTGAAAGACTGACAAAACAATATGATGTGTGGTTCAATGCACAGAAAATGCACAGGTTTTTAAATTCTCACTCTACTACTTTCTAGCTGTGTGACCTTGGGCAAGTTAATCTCAGTTTACTCATTTATAAATCTATATTTATAATTTATATTAAATTATAACTTACAAATTGTTATTTATACATCTGTTTCCACATTTATAAAATGGGTGTAATAGCAGCCCCTAGTTCACAGGATTGTTGAGAATTAAATGAGGGTTGACTCATTTGGAAAGAGTACACAATAAATGTGAGCCATTGTTTTCATTATTACATTTTGTATTGCTTAGATTTTGTTCAGAAATAAACATTAGAGGGAAAGGGAACGTATACAGATGTCCCTGCTATAACACCACCTATGTGTTCCTGAAAAGCTCCATGGTCTACAAAATAGCCCACTGAAAAAAACTGGGCTGCTGGAAAAAAAATAGGGCTGGGCAGACCACTCAAAAAAACCTATGCAATTTTGTAACCCAAGCACTAACAAACAAAAACAATGTCAACATTAGCAAAATATTAGCCCCCACTAAACCTTAGCTTGAATATTTGCAGGCTGCATTCTGCCCTTGAGCCCTGGGGCTTCTTTTGAGATATAAGTCCTGGAGGACATTCATTTCTAATAGGGATCAGTTTCATCAAAATTAAACGTGATTTAAGGAGTAGTGTTCTTCACTAATCTCTCCTAGTTTAAAGGGAAATGTCTTCACAGACTCATCATCAGTACCCTCAGCTTCTCCAGAAAGCACAACATGAGGATAATAGTGATTCTGAAAGTCACTGAATCAGTTGCTTTCTGCAGCTAAAAAAGGCAGCTTTTCCTTAAGGCCTTCACAGAGTGCTAAGGTTTTCTCTTATTAAAGAGATAGTTACTGGGACTTCCTTGGTGGCGCAGTGGTTAAGAATCTGCCTGCCAATGCAGGGGACATGGGTTCGAGCCCTGGTCCAGGAAGATCCCACATGCTGTGGAGCAACTAAGCCCATGCACCGTAACTACTAAGCCTGTGCTCTACAGCCCGCGAGCCACAAGTACTGAGCCCACGTGCCACAACTACTGGGGCCTGCGTGCCTAGAGTCCATGCTCTGCAACAAGAGAAGCCACCCCAATGGGAAACCTGCACACTGCAACGAAGAGTAGCCCCCGCTCGCCACAACTAGAGAAAGCCTGCATGCAGCAACGAAGACCCAACACAGCCAAAAATTAAAAAAAAAAAAAAAGGTAATTATTATGAGAAAGCTTGCCTCTGGTTGCTTCAGAATATTAACATGCTAGAAAAAAAATTGCATAGGAACCAAAATGACTTCCATGTTATACCAATTCCCCATTTACCTACGGCATGTAAGGTCATTCGCATTTAAGAAGCACGTGCTGTAGCAATACAGTTATCTAAATGTGGTGGGTATCCTTATCTCTGATGAGGCTCAGGGACATTAACTTGCCTGAGATACAAGTTTTTAAGAAGCAAAGCCAGGACTCCTAGCTGGAATTGAACTGACTCCAAAACTCATGCTCTTTGAGACCACATTACCCCCTTAAGAGTGGTTGGAGGAAGGAAAGCAGACAGACATCCCTGGCTGTGGTGATGAGTGAAAGCCTGATTCCTAACCATAAGTCCCTAACGTTTAGTCTCATTTAATCCTCATGACACCTCTGCTACTTAGGTATTCTTACCACCACTTTATGGGTAAGAAAACTGAAGCTCAGAGGAGTTATAATTGGTTGGTAGTGGAGCTGGGATTCAAAATTAGGCCTACCCAGTTCCTAAAACTGAGGTGTTTCTCCCTATGTCCTTATGTCCTATGTATGTCTTTATGTTTAAGAACACGGTTCCTAAATATCTTAGTGTGTCTGTTTACTAGTTTTTTAAAAAGCTGTGTTATACATCCCCATTCTCTCAGGCAGTGGATTTCACTGTGCACCCATGTGCACACATATACAACTGGAAATCCTCACAGGTGCAGTTTATCAAGCATGTTTCATAGCACACACATAAAACACTAGCCTCTTCTTTCAGTGTTTTAGAATTTTTTCTTTGTGCTATTTAAATTTGCCTTTTAAACAGGTCAGAAGAGAGTTTATAACTAGAAAAATATTACCTACTGAGGATCCAAGAAAAGGAATTTGTTAGGTAGAACATCGTTTATTGATTCTGTTAATGTATTTTTCACTTTGTAATTATTAAAAATTAACCAAAAAGGAAATAGTAGTTTATTTTTAAAGAAGTGTATTTGGTCATTAACAAATTATGATTTATTTGCCATAATAATGCTGTTCTTCATATGGAAACGTGATACCAATCTACTGATTAGAAAACTACATAGAAAGAATGAAGTAATGCCATTTGGAGCGACGCAGATTGTCATACTGAGTGAAGAGGGTCAGACAGAGAAAGACAAATATCATACGATATCGCTTATATGTGAAACCTAAAAAAATGGTACAAATGAATCTGTTAACAAAACAGAAATTGAGTCACAAATGTAGAAAACAAACTTACAGTTACCAAGGGGGAAAAGGGGGGATAAATTGGGAGACTGGGATTGACATATACACACTACTATATATAAAATAGATAACTAATAAGAATCTACTGTATAGCACAGGGAACTCTATTCAATACTCTGTAATGACCTATATGGGAATAGAATCTAAAAAAGAGTGGATATATGTATATGTATAACTGACTCACTTTTTGCTCTACAGCAGAAACTAACACATTATAAATCAACTATGTTCCAATTAAAAAAAAATTAACTAAAAGAATCACCCAGACAGCAAAAAAACCCAAACTTTTGTTTTAACTGATTAGAAAACTAAATGAAATTAGGAAAACAATGCATGAACAAAATCAGAAGTTCAGAGAAATAGAAACCATCAAAAACCAAACAAATCCTAAAGCTGAAAAATACAATGACTGAAGAATTCAATAGAGTTTCAGAAGCAGACTCAACCACACAGAAAAAAGAAACAGTGATGTAGAAGACAGGACATTTGAAAGGTGCAAAAGGAAAACAAGAACAGTGAAGAAAGCCTACAGGACCTATGGGACACAACAGAAGCAATATTCACATTATAAGAATTCCAGAAAGAGGAGAGAAAAGGGAACAAAGTATATTTAAGACAATAGTGGCTGAAAACTTTCCAAACCTGGGGAAAGAAATGGACATCCAGACCCATGAGGGCCAAAGGACCTCAAATAGGTTGAGCCTGAATAGGGTTACACCGAGACACATTATCATTAAATTGTCAGAAGTGAAAGAAAGAATTTTGAAA